TTTTGGTGGATTTCCTGTCACTTGAACTCAGTGTTAAACTAGTGCACGAAATTCACTGTCTGACAACAGTTCTGGATCGATTAATGGGCAGTATCGGGCCAAGTGAGTTAGATCTCATGATGCAGGAAAGTACGGTAATGCGAATTCGAAAAAAAAACCGAAAAACAGCAAAACAAGTCACCGCCTGTTGCGATTTTAGTGCAACTCTTGTGATTAAGTACAACTAGACTAAATAGGGTAAACCAGATCCGTGGGACTTCCTCCGAAAGAAAGGATTATTCGAATACAGGTTACTTGTCAGGAGAGGTCGCAAGAGCATACTTTATTAACCACGATTTAGTACGAATTCCCTCTCAAAAAGAGGACAACCACTGCGTCCAAACGGGTAGCTGAGAGGTTGTGGGTTCCCACAAAACTCCAGTAGATTTTGTGGAACCCGCTATATCCCGGCAAGTAGTCTGAACATTCGGTCTCAAATGGCTGATCAACAGTGTGATTAAATCTCACCCAAACATACTGTGAAGTCACTTATGCTTCGCTCACGGAATCCAGGTCATGACCGCCTCCTTCAGCGACGATTTCTTGGATGAAAGTGCGAATTATTCTCTCCTCTGAACTACTTATAAATTGTTGTCAGAGTGACAAGTTTCGGAAATTTCCAAAGTAGGTTTTGTAGGTCCTGAAACGAAGAATGCCAATGTATGTCATGTGAGTGAAAACACAGAACTGTACAATACTGTATAGAGCCCGCTCAATGCAATGACAAGACATATTTAGGTCTTACACCCCAAAAAATGACAACACGCTCGAGGTATCGAACCTGTGGAATTCAGTCACTGTCGATTCGCGCCCTGCCCTACATCAACGATCTACTTCAAAACGCCATCGGTCATCACAGCGACAACCAGTGTGTGCAATCGGATAAAACAAAAAGAAGTACCGGTCGCGAGGCCGTCTCACTCTCAAAGGACACCCTTACCAGTCTGCTCCATGGGTTACCCGGACAACGCTGTGACACTGGTTTTTGGTGGATTTCCTGTCACTTGAACTCAGTGTTAAACTACTGCACGAAATTCACTGTCTGACAACAGTTCTGGATCGATTAATGTGCAGTATCGGGCCAAGTGAGTTAGATCTCATGATGCAGGAAAGTACGGTAATGCGAATTCGAAAAAAAAACCGAAAAACAGCAAAACAAGTCACCGCCTGTTGCGATTTTAGTGCAACTCTTGTGATTAAGTACAACTAGACTAAATAGGGTAAACCAGATCCGTGGGACTTCCTCCGAAAGAAAGGATTATTCGAATACAGGTTACTTGTCAGGAGAGGTCGCAAGAGCATACTTTATTAACCACGATTTAGTACGAATTCCCTCTCAAAAAGAGGACAACCACTGCGTCCAAACGGGTAGCTGAGAGGTTGTGGGTTCGAAACTTCTTGAAGTTTTGTGGAATGTGCACTCTTGATATTCAGGACAGATGCGCTTCGCTCACGGGACAAAATGTTGGTTGAAGATTGCTAAAATACATTCGAAAAATGGGCGAGCCTACTATCTGAGAAGTCGCCACTCGATCAGTCGGTGTAAACGTGACTACATGATATGGTTTCCCTGAGTAAGAATGGCACTCCTTGCTGTCTAAGCGTGAGTTAATTACACTGCTGATCAGCCACTCGCCACTCGATCGGTGTAAACGTGACTACATGATATGGTTTCCCTGAGTAAGAATGGCACTCCTTGCTGTCTAAGCGTGAGTTAATTACATACACTATCAGCCACTCGCGGCCAAAGGCTCAGTGTTCTAACATTTAGCCGGAATGTTCGAAACGACCTGGAGGTTCGTGAGGTATGCTTTGTAGATAATCCTCACTTCGGACAAAACAGCTATACAGCTGTGCTTCTCGGTTCCTCAGAAGAGAGTGGCCTCGGCTAGAGAACAAAATCTTTATTAAAAGTCCAAAATCTCTTCTCCGTGCTACTAACCTTGCAAAAATTCAAGAAAGTTTCCGAAAAGATCCTTGTGGTATCCTCTCTTTACTAGAAAAATACCGTTTGGTACGCTGGAAGCAAATGATGCCGTATGAATCATTGGAAATGTGTTATTACATTCTTTTCCTCTTCCAAGAAGTTCTTCCGAATCCTCAAATGGTTAGTATGACCCTGTCTATATGTGCTAAACGCATTTTCTTTGAAGAAAAAACAGCCTAAGTGAACTAGCATTGTATGACGCTCCCATGTTCATAACAATAGAATGTCACTGAAGACGATGGCTAAGAAGTACTGCCTTTATCATAGATTGGTTATGAGAACCCAATTACGAGAGTTTTTATTATTAGATGGCGATTTGAATAAACGATTATTCCCCGATACTTTCGAAAAGCAAACGGACATTCTTCCCATGGAGTTATTAATTACGGAAGTTATCCTCAAGGCGTCCTTTATGAGGTTGTGACAATCTCTCGTTTTTCTTATCATTCAGGGCCATAGGTGTAGTAAAGCGGTCATAGTTATCAACTATGGCGTCGGAGTTGTTCATCCCTGAATCTAAAGAGACGTGTGTATGAAGCTACAGTACGGGCTGTTTTGTTGTATGGGTGTGAGACCTGGCCCATTCGAACGGTGGAACTGAGACGTCTTCAACTGGTCGACAATCGTCGTCTCAGAAAAGTAGCTCGAGTGGGTTGGCGTCAGCGAATCCGTAATTAGACAGTTAGAAAGTGCATTTTCGGTTGTGCAACGGGTACTTCCGTTGAGGAATGTGTCCAGCACCAGAAGCTGCGTTGGTTGGGATATGTGTTACGTACACCGAATCATCGTTTGCCGAAGAGAGTGCTGTTTTCCATGCCCAATTCAGAGTGGCATAAACAAAGAGGTGGCCAATCCTTGACTTGGCAGAGGAGTAGGAAGGAGATCACGAAACGCTTGGGTGCTGTCGGTGCTACTCGCCTTGCAGGATGGGGACCGCGTGATCATCACTGTGCCTGGTTGGAGACACTACAAGATATGGCTACCAACCGATGTCAGTGGCGTTCTTGTTGTCAGTTTCTATCCAGATTGGCTGAGTGAATGTCTGGAGGTGTAGGCACCTCGGAATGATTGTGTTAAGCTAGCACTAAGT